TCCCTGCGAATCCTTCCGGAAGTCATCGCATCGCTTCCGCGTTTCAAGGCGGTTCGAGTTGGCTTTAATTTCCCATACTGTAGTCGAATCCAAAATCTCCCCCTGCGAACGCATGTTGTGTCGCTTTGCGGGCATGCAGCTCCCGAATTTACGCGGTGTTCTCATCTTGTCTGTGGATCTGGGTGTCCAGAAATCAACCTCTGTCTCTGCTCTCTGTGCTGCAGCTCTGCTGTGTTCTGTTTCCGTAAATGTCTAGTTTGTCCACCTATCTTAATATGAGTGGCCCCAATTACTCGGTTCTATACGCGTAACTTCTGCCGGCACGACTCTTTAACGGGAAACGCGACCACCGCGGTTTACGTTCCCGCGAGCGCCGCATCTGACACGAACGGCGGCCGAAATCTGCACACCCGGAATTCATTCAGCTGTCCTCTCTCGCTGTTTCACTGACACGAGCGGCGCCGGAACTCTGCAAACCCGGAGTTCATTCAACTGTCCTCTCTTACTTTTTCACTGACACGAGCGGCGCCGGAACTCTGAAAACCCGGAACTCTGCAAACCCGGAATTCTTTCGGCTGTCTTCTAGCTGTTTGAAGTTTCTCTGACACGAGCGCCGCATCCCTACAAACCGGAACTCTGCAAACCCGGAATTTTCATTCGGCTGTCTTCTAGCTCTTACAGCCACACCCGCCTCATCACTGCGGAAGGCGGAAGCACTTGGCAGCTGCTGCAGTCGGGCGTGCGATGCGGTCCTCGAACTCTGTCGCGCATACAATTCCGCAACTCCCCTCGAATTCAAACTGTTCATTCGGCTGTCCTCTCTCGCCGTTTCACTGACACGGACCACTGACACGAACGGCACCGGAACTCTGAAAACTCGGAACTCTGCAAACCCGGAATTCATTAGGCTGTCTTCTAGCTGTTTGAAGTTTCTCTGCCACGAGCGCCGCATCCCTGCAAACCCGGAACTCTGGACACCCGGAATTTCATTCGGCTGTCTTCTAGCCCTTAAAAACACACCTCATCGCTGCGGAAGGCGGAAGCACTTGACAGCTGTTGCAGTCGGGCGTGCGATGCGGTCCTTGAACTCTGTCGCGCATACAATTCCGCAACTCCCCTCGAATTCAAACTGTCCCCCAACTTCTGTTTCTCTTCAATCCGGGCCATGACATCGTTTCCAAAAACTTCAAATTGTTGGACCGCGCCGTGTAATTCTACCTACCTACCTAGTTACCTTCAGACCATGACATCCATCAGTCGCCCCGCTTCGGTGGAAGATATTGTCCGACTCACCAATGACTGGAGGAATGTTAATTAATCATGTATGTTTCTCACCGTTTAAACACCGATTCTTTGACAGGATCGAGGATTGGAGGTGGAGTAATGTAAGTCGTACAAACCTTTATAAAGCTCTGTCCCAACCTTGTCCTCAGCTAACGCAACATAACTACCCGTCTCAACCTCGTCCTCAGTTACACAGTACAATTATCCACATACAATGTTCGATACGGAAAACTTCAAGTTCAGCCCCCTCTTCGCTGTACGTTTAAATTCCCAGCCCCTCTCTTACGTGTGTCTGAAAACGAGTTACACAGGAATTCTTTGGCCATGATTTGGGCATTCAGGAATTCCCGACGACCACTGGCACTGCTGCCGAAGGTGAGTTAATTACAATTTGCGCCTTGGTATGTCCACTAACTGCAGCCATACCTAGGATTCTCTCTTGCTCTCTTCGCAGACGGAGAAACAAATCTCTTCGCAAACGAAGAAGCAGTCCTCACCCCGCGCACGGACCCTATCCGCCACGGACTCTCCGGTTTCGGGCGGCGCAACTCCCTCCTCGTCATATACGTCGCAGCCGTCGTGCAGGCCAACCTCGCGCTCTTCAAGTCTAAAGGCCTAAGACTGCATTTCTCCATCTACGAGATGCAGAGCGAGACCGAAGCGGGCTCGGGGAACTCATTCCAGACCACCTGCGATGGTGCGCTCAACACGGGCATCCCCGGCCAGGTCGACATCCCAGCCACAGCAGTCGCCGGGCTCCCCGCCGACATCGCGGACCTGACGAACCTCGCGCAGTGCATCACGGCCGAGCTGCAGAAAAATATCACCGGGCACAAGACGGAGCTCAGGGAGGCGAACCTGGCGGCGCTGATGCTGTTCGCCGAGGCGATCCACGCGGGGGGAATCGACGCGACTGAGGCGTTCACGACGCGAGGCGCCATCGGGAAGATCCAGCAGCCCAAGATCGAGGCGGCGCTCGCGTACATCGAGAAAAACATGAAGGATATGATCACCATCGAGCGGTTTTTCGGGCAGGAGGTCATCGACCTTGTGGTGACCAACCCGCAGAAGCCACAGCTGATGGTGCAGTCGGTGCAGAACAAGAACCAAGTGAGCATGGTGGAGTTCGATTTTGTGCATCTGGCTAATGGGACACCGTGGGCGCCCACGGTGGCTCCAGGCCATACGGTGTCCTCGGCGATCCCCAACCACCATGACCTCCACCAGTTCCTCACGACGAACAAACTCCTGGAGGACGGGAAGATCAAAATCGGGGCGCATATTGGGATCACGGGGTTGAGTCTCTCGGCGTACGACTATGTTCCGCTGGTGCTCCGCTACACGTCCCTCATCGAGCCCACCGAGACGGGATACAAAATCAACCCGGAGAATGCCGAGTACTATCAAGGGCTTTTGACGTTCATTAGCCGCACCGGGGTGCCGACGCCGCCGCGCCACATCGACGCAAAGCACTTTGCGAACCACCGGCCCATCCTCACATCGGAGGAAGTCCATGGGCTGCTGCTGCAGAAGCAGTTTGATTGGCTGAGCTTCTGGACCGTTTTCCTCGACGCGAATGTCGCGCGCTCCCTCGGCAAGCTCCCCACGGATCTGCACTACCGGAAGTCCATGGAACCAAAGGCGCGCATGGAGGACTACGCCCGCCAGACCGAGGCGTACATGCGCGGCGAGTTGGCCGAAGTCGGGCTGCAGCGCACAGGGTTCTGGCTGGTCTACGGGGGTCAAGGCTTCTACGCCAATCCCGCTGAGGCCGAGCGCGACCTCGTAAAAAAGGCCCCACTCACGCGTACAGACCGGGCAGGGTTCCTCATGCGGCGGGGATCCCTCGCCGAAATCACGAGCGCCGCGTACGTCGAAGCCCATTCCAATAAGACCTTCTTCGACACATACTCTGGCATCATGCACAATTGCATCGCCGCGTCCCCGCCTGCGATCCACTACCTCGTCGCACGCATGTTCGAGCTCGGCGTCGCGACGCATGCGGCGGGGGACTTTAACGAAATCGTGCCCAGCCTCCACAGGTAACGTGACCCTCGCGCCCAAGCTCCTCGATTGCAGGAATGACACCGTACTCACGTCGTTAGTGGGCGCGGTGAAGGAGGTTGTATCTGGTCAACCCGAGTATGCGAAGGGGCGGTTTCTTCGCAACCAGGATGGGAAGGGGCTTGTGCATGCCACCGATATGGGTATGGGCGACGGGACGCGTGTAATGAACGCACATGGCCAATCGATCATTGGGATGCGGTGGCCTGACACTTCCTTCCTTGACGCTGCCGTGTACGGTGCGGCGAGCGTTGCACCCATGACTGTCCTCTTGAGCTCCATCGTTGCGCAGGGCATCAAGCAGCCTGCGGAGCGCCTGTTGCAGTATTACAAGACGGGGCTTCCCTCGACGAAGAAATTTGATGAGGAAACTGCACTGTTCAAGTCGGTGTGGAGGGAGATGCAGGAGAAGCATGCGTTTTTGGTGTTGTGTGAGAAGGTAGCGGGGAGTGCCCTCGAGTATTTGGAGTATACGGACAAGGTGTTCGACTCCACGTCTCGTAAAAAGCTGGTTGATGACTTGGTCCAAGCGAAACAGCACGTTTCTGCTACGGACGAGTACCACAAGGCTGTTGAAGGCATTCTAGCATTCAATCCGCCGTCTGTCGAGGAGTACTTCGAGCGGTTTGTGGACCTTAGTCCTGCGGAGATTCAGAGTTGCTGGAAGGCGCATATGACGGTATAAACCTTTTCTTCTGCCCACGATAGTTGGTCGCTCGTGTACAGATTACTCTCTGCTCTGAATTGTATATATCTGCGACTGAAGTAACCATCACTGGCAGAATGAAAGATGACGCTATCATTATGGGCTATATACTGTGCAAAAACTACCCATTTTTACAGGGTTTTTCAACGGAATTGGTGGCCGCATCTCGGCAATGGTCTACTGTTCGCCGGAGCCGCGCCATGACTCCGGCCCGTGTCGCGTATATCAATTCATGCTATGATTGTCGTCCTTGATTCCTGTCTGCAATCATACCCTTCGGATTCTCCCCTTACATCCAGGACATCTACAGGGAATGTCTGGAGAAGATCTGGTCCCCGAGAGTTTCGGAATAGCACATGGCCGATGTTTTACGCCCTATACTCCGAATTTCGTCCGGGATATTTATGAGCATGATTTTTCTTTTTTGAAAGTTATGTATTGGATTCCTACTACTAACGCCAAATGCGATCCGCATTTTTTAGGTTCAGAACACCTTCATTCCCATTCATGGTTCCGTCGGAACCTTGGCATCGGTATTGCGATCGATCTCATCATTCCTACAATGTTCGGCGCGTTCAAGTTCAAAAGATTGAAAGTCCCCGGGACTTGCAAGCGGATATTCACGCGCTGCAGGCGACAGACAGAGGATGCAACCCAAGTATGAGTTGTCAGCTATTTTTTTGACTCAGCTGGTAAGATGTATCCAAAAAACCATGTTTCCAATCAGATGTGATCACTGTTCGTTCAATATTTTTTGCACAGTGCACTATCGAGATACTGGATTATATTTGCAACCTTATGTCTCTATCTATAGAATTTTAAACGATGCTGGGCGACTTCAACGTACAAAGTTCCGGTGTTACTGATATCTTATTTTCGGTCCCGTGTTCTCAAGCGGATGATCGAAGGGCGACGAAATGACGCCGTTCCTCCGACATTTTCTGCGGGCCGTCTAGCTCAGTTGGTTAGAGCGTCGTGCTAATATTGGTTATGTCTCCCGAATATACGCGAAGGTCTTGGGTTCGACCCCCACGATGGCCATGTAGCATCAATTGATATTTTTGGCTCATTCAGCCATCTCTAGCTCTTTGGTTTCTGAGAGCCACATGACCAATGCATATCCCAGGGTCCATGCAAACACAGCTTATAGCGTGCCAGACACCCGGCATGTCGCGGACTAGACTAAATTTGTATGTGCCTTGACCATAACTATTTGTTGCTCTATTATCTGCGATGGTATCTCAGTTCCGATCTCTACTTGAACTGTTTATGTAACAATTGGAGACTTGTCGGCCAGACAAGAAGCACTAGGCAGAGGACGCGCCAAGCTCAACAGAACCACGGTATGTATTGTGAGTTCGGAACATGACTGTCAAGGCGTATCCAAATTCCTCAGATGTCAGTAAAAAAAATGGGCGTGCATCGGAACCACTGGCGAGTTCCTAGCACCGTAACCGCCGGGCGGGCTCCGTATTTATTCTGTGTACCCACAAATCTCGCGTTGTTCATTATTTGCAGCTGCGGCACAAGAATGCAGTCGCGCCGGCGTTATATGAGGTGGAGGATGAGGTGAGGTGAGGAAGAGTCGACGAACCGAGAGTGGGGCAGAACGCGGGCGTTGTGATATAAGTAGAAGCCTTCTTCCGCCCACACTGCCAGGAACGAGGAACAGGAGAGGGCGGGCAAGGACTCCATCGTTCAGTGTTACGCCATGGATTTTCGAAGCACGACCTTCCCAGACAGCGACCGAGGTGCGGAAAAAATTCCGAGGACGAGCAAATCCCCAAGGATCAAGGAAGTGGTTGGTGATATGAAATTGGCGGGGCAGGGTACGTACAGCAGCGGGACCAGATTCACACAGGAAAGGCCAGAGAATATCTGAAAATGCAGCGTAGAGGGGATTACTTCTGGCCAAAAATTGACTTTATACATAGGTGACGCACCAGATATCTTTCCAGCTCGAGAACGTACTCGTTTTCGACCTATAATCACAAATTCACGTTCTAAAAGAGTGTAGGAGGGGGTTTCGTCCATTCCCGCGACATTTAGCGCGTCAAACGCAAGTTACTGGTGGGAGATCGCGATATCTGTTTCCAGTGGGCGTAGGTGTCGATAGCACGCGTCCCAGCGGGAGAAAGTAGCCGGAATAGGAGAAGGTAGATGGATGGGCAGTAGGAGAGCAAAGAACTAAGCAAAATTTGACGACCAATGAGTCCAATCCGTTTGACTGAGAATAGACGATGAAAGCAAGAGGCAAGCGAGAGGCCGTTAATGATCCGAACACAGCCACGCCGCATTTTGCTTCTCGCCACGACAACGCATTGGAGCGCCGACCTTTTTCTGGGCTAGGAGCACTCAGTCTTCGTTATCCGTGTCCCGTGCTTCAATCACGTCTCTCGGCTGTCGGCGCCCGGGCTTACAGGGAGCCTACTCCGCCGCCAGTTAAGGCTCCAACCATTTAGTTTTCGTTTATCCTGGAGCATAAATTAAACGGAAACGGAAACAAACGTTTTACAGACCGTTTAAACCATTTATAAATGATATCTCCGGAGATATTTTCCGGCCCTTTATCTGGATGCATTAACACTCCAACAAAGATCGCATTGCAGTCACATACATCCAATATTTGATCTTAGGTCGCGAGAGTCCACCCAACCAAGCCGAACCGACAGGGAATCCAAGGTCCACGAGCTCTCCGAGACGGCCGAGCGTGGGCCGACTGGGAAGTCCCCGCTAAGGAAAGGTGCAAGGTGAGCGGGTGGTTAATTGGGGAGCATTTCAGGAGATACCCACTCGGACTAGCATCGAGCACTTCAGCATCTGCATGGGAATCCATGGCGCGCACCATGATGGGCAGGGAAACCGTTTAACCGTTTACAAACCATTTAAAAATTGTTTGCAAGGGTCTGTAAACTAAACGAAAATAAAAACGGTTGGTTCCGTTTAAAACGTTTGCAAACGAAAATAATTGGAGCTTTACCGCCAGTCAAGGAATCCTTTCCCTTCGGACCTCCGGCCCACCAATTCCTCTACTGCTTCGCCTGCCCGCCGTCCCCTCATCTTCGCCGTCGCCGACGTTCCGCGATCATCGACAGGGCTATGAGCCTCCTTGCTCCTTGCTTCTCGTTGTCTCTAGCCCCAATTCATTCTCTTCGTGTCGTTCCCTTGGCTTCTCTCGTGCCCCGCCCTTTCGGACTCCGTCCAAAGCAAAAATTCAAGCTCCAGTAACGCGCAGCCGTACTCCCGCCCATACACCAACGAAATTCACAAAGCTTTCAGCTAGCAAACCATCGTTCTGACCCGGCTTTCAAAGAAACCATTCGCTTCAAATACTGCACGGCCTCCGCTCACCCTCATCCCATGGACGAATATCACAATGCTGCTGAGCCGCTACTGCTCTATGCGATAAGGTACGTCTCTCGAGTTCTCTTCCCTATCCGTCCCTGCCGTGCTCTCCTCTAACGCACGCTCCTTTGTATTTCCCCCTTCGCTGACTCTCCCCACAGCTTCATCCATTCCCCCCGCAGGCGCTACACATCCAACGTATCCGCGCCACGTCTTTCAGCAAAACGACAATGCTCCCCGACTCGTCACCACCCTCGAGCATGTGCGCTCCTCCCACGCTCACCCGCCTCGGGAGCGCCAACGAATCACCCACGCGACGCATGGACGTCGACATTGGGTGGCTTGGGCATTGGCGTCGATGCGATTGGTCCGCGTCGCCCTCGCGATTGCTAGCTCCACCGCGCGAACCTCCGCCGAGTCCCTCTACCATCGCACATGCCGTCAACGCCGCACAAGCAGCATTCTGCCGATGTGGACGACGCGAGCGTCGCCTAAACACTGAGCCTTTTCGCGTGTTTTACGCTTCTGGGAGGCAGCGGGGCGGGAGACTTCGGAGCGCAAGGTCTCTCTTTTCGTTTTCACCATACACCCAGACACAGCACTGAGGCCACTTTCCAGTTACCACTTCGAGCATCAACTCGCACCGCCGATCTCTCTGCCCCCGCTGCTGTATCATCACCAACGTAGAGCGTTCCCATCAACCCCTCTCATCCATCCCAACCCCCTTTCCTTTCCACTGATTTCCCTGCCTTACTGACCCTCTCCATCCACAGCTCCACGACGTTCCGCGCCGCCCACATCATCTGAACCCTTGGACATTGCCTCTGCGCCCAAAGCCCTGCCAACAACGCTCCCCCGCCGATGCCCTCCTACTGCAATCACCATTCATTGGCGCCCGCCTCCCGTGATCCATCGCCGATTTCCCCAGCTCGTACGCCGTGCTCAAGCACCTGCATGCGTCCGCGGCGGCCCCCATCCCCGCTGCCATCGGCCACAGCACGGCCTCGCACATCGTCGATACCTCCTACGCGCGAGCAGAAAACCCACGACGACGTGTCCAAGAACCTCGCCGCGTCCTCGAGCCCACATCCACCCCACCGTCTCCGTCCACACCCCGTACCGCGCTCCCGCGATCCTCCTGCCCAAGCCCCACGCCACGTGCGCGCCCCACCGCATATTCAAGTTTCTCACCTCACCGGTGGCTTCCTCCGCACACGCACGTAACTCGCGCATGCCCCGCGCACCTCCCCGCGCTTTCTTGGCTGCAAGTCAACAACACCCATCTGCCCGATCCTTCGCATGCACGACCTCTCTACCCACCGCCGCCACTCTGCGCAGCCCCGTCTTTCATCCCGCTGCCCACTCGCGTTCGGCCGGAAAACCAAGCAGTACCGCGTACCGACCCCCTCGCCTCCGACCGTGCTCCTCCGTTATCCACCCATCAGCTACATGACCATCTTGAGATCACCATCTCGACAATCTTTTAGTTCCGCAGATCGTTATACCTCTCCTCACTGTTTCTCGCCTTGTTCTCGCCGTTACTTTGACTCCGTACTTGACTGGACCCCGTATCTGCGCACTACCTCTTGTGACCCATCTGCGCCTCCCTAAATAATTTTACACTTGTATTTCCCTTCAATCCAATGCTCAATATACTCCTCTTTCCGTACATCCATCCAGATTCACGGCATTCCCCGACCCCGTAGGCCAACTGTGTTTAGCTTGGTTTACATCGACCACTGCCTACGCCTTGGCTGCGTCGCCCAGATCACTACCCTCCGCGATACTGTAATATCACGTTCAATTCGTCAGTCACGCGTCACGCTCATTTTTTCTGAGGGCGGAAATATTTTTTTCTCGATTTATCAGATTTTCTTTGATTTTTAAAAGTATCAAAAAACCGGTGGCGGTGTGGAATTGAACGTAAGACTACAGTAATTCATAGCGAGAAAAGGCTCCGGTGACCCAGTAAAGTATCCACGGAGGCCAGCAACCTCCCTTGTGGCCGATTCAACGCAAAACCGCATACATACGTAGTTGGAATCCCATCCTTGGCTTAGACTAATTTTGGGAGACGCGTCAGTACTAGTACCGCGGTAATGCCGCGGCAGTGCGCGGCAGTCACGGCATTTTCTCCTGGCCCGTCTTAACCGAGTCTGCCGCCAAGAGCTCTGAGAGTTCACTTTTCGGTTTGCCAAACGGGCTTGCGCCCGCGCCAACGGGCTTGTCGGGGCTTGGGCTTGGATTTGGGTGTAGATCAAAGCCCAAGCCCGGGAGATCGGCTTGCAAGCCCGTTTGTCGGCTTGGCAAGCCCGTTTGCTCGCTTAGCCGAGAAACGGACTTGTGTGTATTTCTCGTCCCCGTCGGAATAGTTTCCCAATCTGAGTGCATAGACTATGTGCAGTAAGTACATACTTCTAGGGCTTGCAATTTTTATGGTATTCTGCTCACTGATGTGATGATACGCTGTCACCGCCGTGGACGACATAGGGCAACAGTGTCAATTCACTTCCAAACCACGGGCTTGTCACAGTCAGTGTAGTCCTATTGTATTTACCGATCCCTTGCAAGCAGAGGGTTTCTCACAACTCGAATTCCTGGTCTACTGGATCCAATTTTTCTGTGACATGTTAATATAAGTTGTTGAAATGACTTAAAATTATTCTATCATGCCAATGCCGACTCCCAATGGAAAA